CAAACACATGCTCATTAATTTATTAAGCTAATTATCAGATGCTTCAGAAGCCCGATGTGTAGACAGCACAGAAGTTTCATGTAAAAAGGAAGTTACAAAATTATGAGTTTCTGAGCAGGTCAGGCTCCTGGCTGAGCTTCTGATGACGAAGCTGGTTCTGATAGGCAGTCCCTTTGATATGCGCAGCAGACCCGCCAGGAGCCCTATGTTCTCAGGGTTCCATTTAGACCACAGGAGGTTGAAATCCAAGTTTAAAAGACCCCCTGCCGACGAAACATATATCCATGGATGGAATATTATTTAGCAATAAGAAAGGAACAAACTACTAATACAAGTTATGTCATGGGTGAACCTCGAAAATATATGTAAATGAAAAAAGCCAGATACAAGAGGCCACATTTTGTGTGATTTCATTGAGATGATGTCCAGAAAAGGCAAATTTATAGCGACAGAAAGATTAATGATTCCCTAGAGCTAGGAACAGGTATTATCGTGTAAATAGGCATGAAGGATCTCATTGAGGGGGATGAAAGTGTTCTGAGAGCTGTATGGCTGTGCCACTCAGGAAAGTTACTAAAATCATTGAATTGTACACTTGAAATGGGTGAATTTTATGTTACGTAAAATATGCCTCAATAAAGTTGTTTAAAAAAAAGTTCCTGTCTCGCAAACCACCCTTCAAGCATTAAACATTTCTGAAGGCTCACAATAAACAGGACAGAAATATCAATGTGTTGAGTTACAGAGTGTACTCTTTTATAGTACACAGCCTAGAATGTTTCTTTACTATTTATAATATTAAAAGGTAGCCAGTAAGAAGGTAGGATTGGGGAAGAAAGCTCAGCAGACCTCACAAGTGAGACTCCTAGTAACAAAATCGAAAGGGGCTTTTTTCTTTTAAAATAAAGATGGTGCATCTGTCCCTTTGTAGATTTCTCTTCTGTCCCCCGGGGGTAGGGTGGTGAATCACTTGGCTAACGCCCCATAGAGATCAGTGTACTCAGCTGTCCTATTTGTATGACCCCCTCTAAAATCTCGACTGGGGACAGCAGTGAGGGGCTGGGCAGTGAGGGCAGAGGCCAAGTAACAAGTAGGAAACTTGAGTGTTTCCTTGGGTCAGCCTCCTATTCCCCTGTCCTTTGTCACTAATTGCAGATTCAAGATGGGAGAAATAGAAGATTAAAAACAAAGGGGGGGGGGAAACCTTACAAAATTGTGATGAAATTCACGAGGCAGCAGAGCACTGGCTACAGAAAAGTACTCTGCGTACTACCCAGGGACCAGGAGAACTAATGATCTCTGAGAGGGGAAACGATTCACGTGGGTAACCGTGGGCAGAGGTAGGAGGAGACCAAGGTTCCTGATGCTCACCAGATCCCAGTCAACCCTCCTGTTCTCTCCATCAACTTCCCAAACTAATGAGGTCTACATTCATCCCAGAGGAGAGTGGCTAGGAATACAAAATCTTTCCCAAAAGGTGCACGTCTCCAAATCTTGGTCAAATTTGTCAGGTCTCTGCCTGAACCCATACATCAGCATAACCTAACCAAGCAACATTATTAACCCGTGACTCTTATTGAAGAACACCTGCCCCCTCCCATCTCAGGAGTGTAGATTCCTGGGCTCCTGATGTTTATACATGGGCTTTGCAGCAGCACCAACAGCAAGAAGATTCAGTCAAGCTGTTTCCTTTGGCTACTTATTCACACAACCTTCCCGACATATATTAATTTCTACTCTGAAGTCAGAGCGTTTGACTCACCTCCTTACTTCCCAGCATCTTCAAAATCAAGACAGAACTTTGACATTATAGCAATACACAATTTGAAAAATGCTGATTACTTCTAAAGACATTTTAAAGTTATAATTAGCATTGTAACCTTAATTAAAGGGACCCCAGCTGTTTTGACTTTGGAAACTAAAGGTGCTGCAAAGGTCCAGCCTTTTCCTTGCAATCTTTTTGGGTTTGACCTTGTGTGATCCCCAAAAGTCAACTGCCGCAGTCAGAAACTGCTCCAAAGACCCAAAGGTGCAGGTGCTCAGGCCTAGGCTGTATCTATCAAGTTTTCTGCTGCAGTTCAAAGGGCAGGAGAAAATAAAAGGCATTTCTTTTGCTTTTTACCCCTTGAAGAGCGAGAGATAAAATCATTTTCACTTTGGAGTTTTAGAGTCCAATAATCACAAAATCAGTCACTAATAAACTAACACTGGGACCAGCCAGAATTGGCAATTGTTGAAAATACATATTCTGTTTCTATACTTAAACTTCTAGTTGAAAATTAAGAAAACTTAGGGTAGTGGCTTAAATTCAATATCCAAATCATCACTTATAATACCAGCCTCATCCTTAAAAGGTAAAGGTGTCTAGTTTGGCTTGCACCCAGAACCTCTCCTATGAGGAAAAGTCTGAGATAGAGGTTCCCAGCCTTTCCCCAGTGAAGATCCAGTAAGACCCGCACGCATTTCCTGTTAAGGAGTTGGCAAACTCTGACTACAGCTGGGCCTGTGGTCTGGGTGACAACTATACTCCCACCTCACAACATAAAATAGATGGAGAAAAAGTCACGCTGCAAGAGGAACCGCTGGAAGCACAAACCTACACAGTAAGAAGGGGGTCACACTGCTAGCTGCTTCCTGATCTTGAGTCAGCGCACTGTGTCTGAGTGGGACTGGAATGGCCAGCCCTCAGGTTCCACTGCTTGGCTGGAAGAAAGCTTTCTTAGTCCTGACCAAATATGCCTTGTGCAACCACGCTGACATCCTAGATGAAACCCCACGGCAGGTGGGAAAACAAGCCCTTTGAACTACACCTAATACCTTAGCCTATCCTGGTGTCAGAAGGGCAAGCCTGCTTCAGGATGAAGAAACGGCTCGACCTGGATCCCTGTAGGACTTCCCAGACCAGGAGCCACACAAGAATCCATGGTGCTCTTTGTGATGGAGACACGACGGTCTAGACAATGGCTCCTTCTGCAATCCCAACACACTTCCAGCAGCCTTCAGAATTCTGAGCTTGGACAAGTTAATGAAGATTGAAGGAGGAAAAGCGGCCCTGGAAGAAAGAGACCTCTAGTTTTGCGCTTCCAAGGTCCTCTCCTTATTAGAGGCAACAATTCCAGCTGAAAGCTGAAGCTGGAATCGAGACATTTCTTTATTCGTAGCCCTGCCTGAAAACGAGTTAAGAGTTCCATTCCCTCGAGGTAGAGACTTTGGGAATTCATGAGCACATCTGACAATACGAGCTCCCTAAACTACTCTCCTGTGACATGTGACCTAACAAGGAAGGGCATTTTTCATATGATGCCATCCTAAAGACTCAAACAAGGAAAAGATGTGGGTTCATATTTTCAATCTGACATAAACCTGTGGCTGTTCAAAAAGTCAACAAGGGACCTCATAAGAAAAAGGAGAAATTCTTAAATTTTCCAAACCCTAGTCCGTTCCTTCCAACCTCTGTCCCACAACCACATACTGAATTTACACAGACTTTATTTCAAGTTACATGATGTTTTCCCGACAGGCCTATCACACAAGACAGTGGCAGTCATACAGAAGCCACTGTCCTCCTCAGGCCCCTGCAAGTCCTTGCCCGTCCTGGAAGAACGGCCAGGACTGGACATGCTCTCTTTTAGACCTGACTCTCCCACCGACTTCTCTAGCACACAAAGGCAGCTCCTGAGCCAAGTTTAGTTCCTTTTGAGTATCAACAATGACAACAAACACCCCTGTGACTTGTGGGCAGGAAAGGAACACACCCAGAAAGTCCAACCTAGAAAACTCAAAAACCTGGGTATGTGGGAACAGCAAAATTTTATAACTGCCGCAACTGTCCTGGTGGGTCACACAGTCACAGGGTCAAATGGGACTCACTCTCCTAGACGTTTTTAGAGTTCTTCTGCATAATTCTGTAAGGTGGGAAGAAGCATCCAAATAGTGAACTGAGCTTCTTGCTAGTGTCCTGAAAAATATATTGACTTGTGAAAGTGCACAAACCTTTCTAAGGAAAGTAAGGTACCAGGTGGACCAAGTCCGCATGGGGCTGGAAAAAAACTGTCAAAATAAATTTAAGACATAACTAAGAGGATTCAAGGATGACTTCTCCAGGCTGACGCTGATGGCCAGCACCGCATGCCTCTCGTACACCTTTGGTAACAATATCTTTTCTCAAAAACAGAGTAGGGTTGGGATGGAGGGGAGACAGGGGACTAGACACCATGAGACGAAATGGCAAATCCACTCTAGTGCTCTTTTACCTTGTAAATTTTGAGTCTGATGGTAGCTGTAAACAGAGGCTTAAGAGTAGGACAACAGTAACTGAACGACTCAGGTGACAATCACCATCCCAGTCCTCTCCTTCTGCTTTAGAACTTTCATCAAGCAGATGGTTGATGAAAGTTGCTTCTATTGGTTTCCAGTACTTTAAGCCTGTGTTTTCTTGAATGGGGTTCAGGCAGGGAGACATGGGCTCAGCAGGCCACTGGTAATCCCAGCTCATCACAGGAAACTCCCAGGGAGCTGTGCATTCTGGTTTACAATGCCTGCTTCTTCCACTTGTCCCTTTTCCCATCCAGCTTAACAGACTGAGTAAGTAGTGCTCCAGGTGTTCATTGCCCTTGGTAAGTATACAGCAGAGCGGGAAGGGCATTCTAAAACACCCAGATTTTCTTGGTCAGCTTATTTTGTTTAAACACATACAGCAGAACATTCCTGACGAAGGAGGTGGGGGGCGGGAATTGCAATTTCCCTAAATCCAAAAGCTAGTAATAATAGGAAATTGCTCCAAATGAAAGTCAGTAGAACAAAAGAGAAATACTCAGAGGCTTGTAGAGAAAGACTGAGCACATTAGTTACTCCAATCACAGTGTCGAGTTAAACCACTGTCCCCTTTCCCCGCTGTGCACCCCTTGCCCATCCCGCCCCCCTCTTCAGCTCCGCCCTTTTGTGCAGCGTTGTCCCCAGATGTGGGGACGTACAAGTTCTCCTCAAAGCTTTCTGTCAGCTCAGTACTTCACTCCTGGAATAAATTCCTTGGCATCCGGGTTCAGGTTACTTTTGCTCTGAAATAAGAACCAAGAGATAATAAATGCCAAGGCAAGCTGCACTTTAAAACGTGTTTTCTCCTTGCTTCCGTTATTACCAGTACCTTCCTCTCAGCCTCAAGGAGAGAAAAAATAGAATTCCTTGCAACTCAAGCTGTTGTTGAGTTGTTCCTTGCTGGGCTGCTCTCAATGTTCTGATGTACTAAGCCCTGCTAACCTCATTTTCTCCTTCCTGCTTTAGACTCCTGTTCCCTTCATGATGCTTTCATTTAAATTTCATTTAAATTTGACTCCAAAAATAATTTTTCAATTTATTAGTACCTTAACTTGATGAAAATCAGAGAACTCCATCAAACTAGTTTGGTTACCACAATCCCTATTTTTTTTTTTTTCATCTTTCTGTACTCTCTGGTTGTCTACTCTCTTGTGAATATCTAAAACCTCATCAAACTGCAGGGCACAATCATTCAGAAAGTGAGTTGTGTGAGAACAATATCACTTACAGAATTCTGACATTACATCAACATGGAATGCAAGGAATTAATTTATCTGGGCTTCTAATTATAAGTGGAAGATGGTCTCTTAGGAGTATATTCCTTCCAAAGTGAACAGGCAATTTTTATAACAGCATCATTCAAAATTATAAATACAGATTTGAGGGATAGCAAAAGAAAAGGACAGCAGCAAAGGATAATTTGAAACCAAACCTCTTCCATGTTCAAATTTTTATCCTTATTCCCAGTTCTGCTTTGAAAAGCCCATGGGAGAAAATGAAAGTTGGTGATGCTGCAACCATCACGTTTGCACAGTGCTTTAAGAGGTGCAGTGCATCTTCAATGCACCCCCTTATTAATGCCCAGGTGACGAGTGAAGAATCAGCGGCTCAGAGGGCTCCAGAGCTTGCCCAAGGTTGTAGGGCCAACAAGAGAGTCTGTGACTCTAAATCCTACATTCTTTTCACTATGTCACATGTGGAACTACATATGCTCTTACCAAAATATCTTCAGAATCATGACCATCACTGACTGACAGTCCATTTAACTGTTGTTGCAACTGTCCCATGGCCTGAGGCAGGTCTCGAGATGGAATAAACCAGTCCTGGTCTTCCTCATCCAGCATCTCCTGGAAGCAGCGGTCCAAGAATTCTTGCTCCTGCAGCTCCTCTTCCACCTAGCAAGCAAAGGGGAAGAGCTCAGACGTACTGTCCCAGTGGGACTCACATCTTCCAGTTTTTTCTCTACCTCTTTCTTTCAGAGGTTGTTACTCTGCAGTTAAGAATGATCTTGTGTTGGGGGGGGGGCTTCCCTGGTGGAGCAGTGGTTGAGAGTCCGCCTGCTGATGCAGGGGACACGGGTTCGTGTGCCGGTCTGGGAAGATCCCACACGCCGCAGAGCGGCTGGGCCCGTGAGCCATGGCCGCTGAGCCTGCGCGTCCTGTTCCGCAACGGGAGAGGCCACAACAGTGAAAAAAAAAAAAAAAAAGAATGATCTTGTGGACTTCCCTGGTGGCACAGTGGTTAAGAATCCACCTGCCAATTCAGGTGTCACGGGTTCGAGCCCTGGTCCGGGAAGATCCCACATGCCACGGAGCAACTAAGCCCGTGCGCCACAACTACTAAGCCTGTGGGCCACCATTACTGAAGCCCACGCGCCTAGAGCCCATGCTCTGCAACAAGGGAAGCCACCACATTGAGAAGCCCCGCACACCGCAACGAAGAGTAGACCCCGCTCGCTGCAACTACAGAAAGCCCGCGCGCAGCAACGAAGACCCAACGCAGCCAAAAATAAATATTAATTAATTTTTTAAAAATAATGATCTTGTATGAGATCTACTAAGAATTATGATGCTTCTAATGACAGGCTAGAGAAAATATAATTTTTAATTTTTCAACCAAATTCCATCAAAAATAAGGCTGAGGAAATAGTCAAAACAGCAGAAATTCCAGGTATTCACAGATCTTCTAATATGTGATACAGATATTTTCCACTAATATGGCACTTACAGAAAATCATTTTAAAACTTGAAATTCTTTTCTCAATCTTGTTGAGAAGCGATTCTTCTTAAATTTCCCATCTTTCAGATATAAAAAGGGTACAGGAACTATGTAACTAGACCACTACCTGGATAGTGGAGATTAAATCAAAACCAACTCCCAGCTTCTGGCCCACTTTTCTGGTATTGAGGCCCCTACATGAGAAAAAATAGTTTCATAACCTTAGAAAGATATAAAGAACACTTTTTTGCATACCAATAGAAAATGATGTCATCAATGTAGTATACTTTCAAAACAAGAATAATGAGTATTTACACAACTGCATATTTTTAAAAATTAATTAATTAATTAATATATATATATATTAACATCTTTATTGGGGTATAACTGCTTTACAATGGTGTTAGTTTCTGCTTTATAACAAAGTGAATCAGTTATACATATACATATGTTCCCATATCTCTTCCCTCTTGCGTCTCCCTCCCTCCCACCACATTTGGTAGTGTATATATGTCCATGCCTCTCTCTCGCTTTGTCACAGCTCACCCTTCCCCCTCCCCATATCAAGTCCATTCTCCAGTAGGTCTGTGTCTTTATTCCTGTCTTACCCCTAGGTTCTTCATGACATCTTTTTTCTTAAATTATATATATATATATATATATATATATATATATATTTATTTTTGGCTGAGTTGGGTTTTCGTTGCTGCGCACGGGCTTTCTCTAGTTGGGGTGAGTGGGGCTACTCTTCATTGTGAAGTGCGGGCTTCTCATTGCGGTGGCTCTTGTTGTGGAGCGTGGACTCTAGGTGCACGGGCTTCAGTAGTTGTGGCTCACGGGCTCTAGAGCGCAGGTTTAGTAGTTGTGGCACACGGGCTTAGTTGCTCTGCAGCATGAGGGATCTTCCCAGACCGGGGCTCAAACCTGTGTCCCTTGCACTGGCAGGTGGATTAGTAACCACTGTGCCACTAGGGAAGTCCCCAGCTGCATGTTTCTTAAAGACTGTCTTAATATAAAGCAATATATAGCTAGGATATTTTACACTTTTTTGCAGACACTGTTAACTCTTAATAAAGAGTATGCTTCACTCTGGAGATTAAGTGTGATTTTAACAGGCTTCCCGCTTCTTGTTTGGCCATGACTTTCCTGCAGGAAGCCTGGTGACAGATTCACAGTTCACTTGAACCACCACCAGAGGGCTGGTCAAGCAAAAATAATCACCGAAGCCAGCCAATATAGTTAACCTCATGAATTCAAAGGAAAAGTCACTGGTAGCAAGACTTAAACATACTATTTCAACATTACAATTAGCCACACTTTCCTTTTTTAAAATATCAAATACTTAAAATAACAACTAGAAAATATTTCCAAGCTACAAGATTTAACATGACTGCTCAAGATGTGCCCTTCCTCTCCCCAAGAGCATAACAACATGCTCCCTGGTATTAAATCTACCCTTATTCACAGGCACAACCCACGAAAATGGTTACCTGGGCCCAGAGGTGTGATAGGAAGCATGGTCTATGTACTATTCACACAGATCATACGACAATGGGCCACATGGGGTGGTAACTCCTGGCTGCCCCCCTAAACTTGTTTCCTTCTCCCCAAAGCACCAGGCTATTCAGTTAAAATCACATTTCCTGTCTCTCATGCTGGATATGGCCATGTAACTATTAATCATGTAATGTCCCCAGAAGGGATGTGAGCATTTTGGCATCACTTGGTTAAAGAGATCTTTGCCTTGACATTTGGCTCTCTGCCTTTCCTTGTGTTTTGACTTCCAGTTATCCTGCATCTGATAAAATGCCCTGGGCGTGGTAGAGCAACATCATGGAGGGCACCGTGTAGTTGCAGAGTCACCTGTCTACCTGGAATGCTTACCTTGGGCTGTTAATGCCACAGAGATATAAGACAATGAATTATTGCTGGATCTTTGTGGAAGCAGTCTAGCCTTCCCCCACCTAATACACTCCCTATCTCAGACTTGCATTCTGCCAGTCTCTGAGTTCCTATGCGGGGCATGCCAAGCTGGCCTGTCTGCACACAGCTGCTGTTTCCCAGAAGCCTACACCAGGACACCACGGTATTTGATCCTCTTTTAATTGGCATGGTAGAAACATTTCAATATCCTGCTCCAAGGTATCTTCAATCTGGTCTCAGCAGCTGAAGGTGCTTCTTGGTCAGCCCAGACCAGGCTTCTACATATTTTCAAGTTGTTCTAAAGCCAATGCACCCATTTCTCTTGTAACAGACTGACGGTAAAATACTATAGCTGTTGAATTACACATCTCATTAGCCTTTCACTTCTTTACCTGTCTGTTGAAATCCTCTTCATTCTCCATCCACATGTACTCTGCAAATGGGTTTTCCTTCTCATCATGCCCATTTAACCCCTGGTCCTCTTTGGATTTTATATTGGGTGAAGTATTCGCCACACTGGATCCATTCATTATGACAGAACCTAAACAGGAGCAAAAGAAAGGATAAAATGATCCAAAGAGCAAAAAAAAAAAGATAAAAAGGATAAAAGGATCAAGGAAATGAAAAGATTCTTCCAGATGCTTTTGAAGTTCTAAATCAAAGTTATTAACTATAGATGAAGAGAAACTGCTAGTCTATAACAGTGACAAAACTAGCCATATCCTCTTACCAACTATACAGATGTACGATGCTTTAAGAGTTAAAAGAAAAAATACAACTAGGCTCAGTTATTAGCCTTTCTAGGCAAGTGGGTTGGGGGCCGGGGGTGGGGAGTATTTTTTCAAGCCAAATTTCTGTACGTTCTAGAACGTAACCAAGATCACACAGCTTCCTTATTAACATTTAACTAGGTAGAGAAAATGCATTCTTAATAAACACTGTAAACAGCTGCCCCTTACTCTGATTCTTAAGATGTGTTTTTCTTTAAAACATATTTTAAAATAATACATGTTAATTGTATTGAAAAGTAAAAAGGAGAAAAGTTAAGGTCACCAGTCATCTAACCATCCAGAGTTAAAAATGATTAACAATGTGGTGGATATAAGCTTCCTGACTTCCCCTACGTGTGTACATATACATACAACCATTCTCCAAGGATCCATTCGTACAGCAACAGCATGATGCGCCATCATTTTCTTTTTCTTATTTCTATGTTAATACAGCCACACTGTCATTTGGTGTATATCCTGTATTTCTGTATTATAAAGATTGGATGAACTTCTTGTGTTCATTTTTTCTAATGATTTCCTTAGGATAACTCCTAGAAATAGAACTGCTGTATAGGAAAGAAGGTTTTTTTTTTTTAAGGCTCTTGATCTATTGCCATGCTGCCATAAGAATTTAAATTCCCACTGGTATTATGTAAATGCCTGTTTCTCTGCACTCATGAGTATTATTATTTTTTAAACTATTGCCAACTTCATACAAGAAAACTTGCAAGTTATTGTTTACATTCACATTTCTTTGATTTTTTACTGAGGCTAAGTATTTTGAGATAAGCTTACTAGCCATTTATATTTCTTATATTGTAATTTTTCTGCTAAAGTACCTCACCCATTTTTCTCTCAGGGTATATATATCATTTCCTTACCTTTTGTAAGAATTTTTATTACATGTGTCATAATTTTAATTTTTCATAAACTAATTTATAAATAAAAATTATTTTTCGCTTAATTTTTTGGTGGCAGTTTTTACTGGCTTTAATTTTTGTCTGCAGTTTGTGTGAGTGTCTGTCTGTCTATGGCTTTTCAAATGCGTACATATTTTTAAAAATTGTTTACTTTGGCTTCCAAATCCATTTTGATGTGTTCACTATCATCTGAAATATGTCTTTTTTCTGTACTTTATTTAAATCTTAACGACTCTTTAAAAACCACTGCAGTCTTTACTCACTCTGTACCACCTCCCCTAAGCTCTTGTATGTAATGAGCATGGTGTTAATACTACTTAGTTGTTCTGTTTCATATGTTTAATTTTTCTCTTTCCAATTATAAACTCATGAAACACAAAATGTAGGTTTCTATATTTTGTAACCTACCTCAGTATTAGGAACTCCATATCTACTGTGGATCATCGTGTTTGGGCGGATCATCGTGTTTAGGCAACTTTCCCTTTCCAGCCTGTCTCCTTCCAGTCTCAACTCAATCCCCTCCCAACCATCCCTGGGGCATTTTTAACAAATTATTTCCTCACTCATTTCTATCTTGGCAACACTCATGAAAAAGTCCTTCTCTGCTTCTGGGTACACTAAAAAAATTATTGCTTACTCCCCTTTAAAATTTTTGCAATTTTCTAACCTGTTATGAACATTAGAAAATCTCATCTTCTTAAAAGACAGAGTAGAATTGTGAAGAGTAATAAGAATAGATGGAAAAACAACTCAGTGATAGCTCAAAAAGAATTTAAGACAGAACCCATTTAATTCACTGTTGGTTTAAATAGGGCACCTAGTATGAAATATATCAGTTTAACATATTTCAGATAGAGACAAACGAAATCAATGATTATTCCAAATACTGCTCCAGAATAATAATTCCATAAGGCTATAAAAGTGAGGAAGCCAGCTCTTGATTTTCACCACTTCCATTTGCAGCATAACAATGATAGAATTAAGTCTGCTCTAAATGCCAGGGCAACTGCATAAGTAAGTATTCCTAGTCAGAGACCTTTATTTTCTTTTTGGCTGCGTTGGGTCTTCGTTGCCGTGCATGGGCTTTCTCTAGTTGCCGCAGGGGGGTTTACCCTTCTTTGCGGTGCGTGGGTTTCTCATTGCAGTGGCTTCTCGTTGCAGAGCACAGGCTCTAGGCGCACCAGCTTCAGTAGTTGCAGCATGCAGGCTCAGTAGTTGCGGCACACAGGCCCTAGAGAGCACGGGCTTCAGTAGTTGTGGCGTGTGGGCTCAGTAGTTACAGCATGTGGGCTCTAGGGCACACGGGCTTCAGTAGTTGTGGCGTGCGGGCTCAGTAGTTGTGGCGCACGGGTTTAGTTGCTCTGTAGCATGTGGAATCTTCCCAGACCAGGGACCAAACCTGTGTACCCTGCATTGGCAGGTGGATTCTTAACCACCACGCCAGCAAGGAAGTCCCAAATCAGAGACTCTGAAAGGTCTTGAACCTTGCTGGGTAGCATATTACATTCAGTATATAGTATTTTCAAAGATTCACTTGGCAGTTGTTTACCACCAACACTGATTTCTCCCCACATTATGGAAATCACCCACAGAGAATCAGAGTTCAGTTTTCTAAAACATCTGCCTTTGCCCAAAAAATAAATCCTGAGTGTACATGACCATAAGGAAAAAGGGAAGACAGAGGAAGAAAGAACAGAATAACCCTGCTAATTCAAGAGCAAGGCAGAGCACAGAGAACAAACTGCAGGATACACCTTCATGAGAAAGGGAATGGAAAATTACCACAAACTCAACATAGGGATTATCCAATTTAACACAAACACTTTAGAGAAGTTGAAAGCACTGAGATATGAGACTGTCAGTACTAGGAAAGTGGTTCTCTCCACAGTAGGTTATACAGTATTGATTCGTATTTTATACCATTCCACCTGTGTTTTCCACACAATTGGGAAGTTTGGTTTTTCTAAATAGCAGCAATCCAACAACTTAATTTGTGCAGTGTTTAACAATTTATAAAGTACTTTCATATCTATGCTGTAACTTAAGGCACATAATCTGTCCAACCTCACTTTTAAAAAACCACCCAGACATTGCTAAAGTAAGACCAAAGAAGGTACTGGTTCAGGGGTTAAGCAAACTGGGTTGCTGGGTTAGTTCAATAACAACACTGGTTTGTGGGCCTTCTGGGTGACAGTGAATTGGTGTTTAATGTGCCCCTCGACTTTAGAAGTGGGGTGGGAATGGGGAGATTTTGCTGGGGAATGGTAACTCCTAGGTAAGACACTTGGGGAATGCTTTCCAACTTGAGGAAGACACCAGGTAAGATACCACCATTGCCTGTACTTCCCTGACTTTCCTGCTTCCGAAGTTGCATGTTAACATTTTTTCCAGCCCCTCTCCAGCTCACCATCCATCATGCATGCCCTCCAACACCACAGTGTTTCTCTAATCATCTTATTTTGACTTTTTACGTTCATTATTTCACTTGATCCTCCCACACCAAAGCATATCATTGTGAAATTCTAGTGTAGTGGAGACAAAGAAAATACCCCCAAAGCTTCCAGAGATGGGGGGAAATGCCTGGTTACATAAGCAGATCACAAATCAGAATAGCTGCTACGCTGTCAGCTACACTATGGAGAGGCGCATGTGAAAAGGAATTCGATCTTATTAACAACCATGTCATTGAATTTAGAAGTTCACCTTCCCCCAGTCAAGCCCTCAGATGAGACAGCCATTCCAGTTGACAGCTTGACTGTAACTTCATGAGATACTCGGAGATAGAGGCACCCAGCTAAGCTGTTCCCAGATTCCTGACCCACAGGAACTGTGAGATAATAAATGTTTGTTGTTTTAACCTGCTAATCTTTGGGGTAAGTTGTTATATAATAATAAATAAATAACACAGGTATTCAATGAACACTGACAACTATCTCTGCCACATAGACCACCAGTTGCCACATCTTTCCAATGATCTATCAAGAAGTCAAATGTGCAGTCTGAAGTAGGTCATTACTTGAGAAGTTCTTCAAGAATCAGACCTCAGCAGTACATAAAGGAGTTGGTGTCTGGTCTGTGTCTATACTGCATTATGAAATCTAAGAACTATTTGAAACTTCTTCCCCCTGTCTCACTTTCCCTCTTATAGACACGGCAAACATGCTGAAAATGGAAAATAACGATTGTCATTTGGCTGAAGATGGGAAAGCATGTAGCCCTGCTCATAGTCAAAACAGGAGTGCTAAGCTCCTGCCAAGCATTTGGTTTAGCACTTTACCATGGTCAAGGGTTTGTGTTTAAGATATTTGGCTTGAAACAGAGGCCTTGGTTCTCAGCCACAAAGAACATCAGGGCTTTTAATATATCTAGGATATTTCTAGAATACATACTTCATCAGTTCAACACTTTGAAAAACCACAAATTTCAGATACAACATGCTCACACCAAAAACTGACTATTTTTTTTAATCTAAATGAGATTTTTTCAGAAGCTATAAACCTAGATCGTGCCCAGGATAACAGTCTGACTGTCAAGAACACTTGGAACTTTTGACTCAATTACTGGGAAAAGGTCAATTGAGTAGCTGATATAAAAACTGGTCTCTACTATTCTGTTTCCTACAGTTTTGTTAACTTCATTCAGTCTGGTTAATACTGGTTAATAAAAATTAAACATTATGGACAACAATTTTACTTCAAACATGCTGCCACTAGATTCAGGTTTTGTCTTTTCCCAGTTACATCTTAGAAACTCAGGTAATTAGATGCACTCACTCACTGATATCTGTGTGCCTATCTACCCTTGGCACTGTGCTTGACTGCTGCTTTGACAGGGTACACAGTCCTTTCCCTGTTGGTATTTACATTCACTCAGGAGACAAGCAAATAATTAAGAATAATTACTATTAAATTAAAAGGAGAAGTAAAAGGGAGTATGAGAAGACAACAGGAAGACCCAATCTAGTCCAGGAGTGGGGGATGGTTAGGAAAGGTTTCCCTGAACAAGCAACATTTAGACTGATACCTGAAGAACTTAAGTTAGCCAGCAATAGGGAGGAGAGGGTAAAGCAAGTGCAAAGACTCAGAGGCAGGAGGGAACTTTCAGGAACTACAAGCAGGTAGGTATGTATATAGTTGGAAGGTCAAGGGAGAACCAGGCGGGGGGGGAGAATTGCCAAGGAGGAGAGATGAGGTTGCAGAGGCAGATGGGGCCAGATCATGCAGGACATCAGAGGCTACATGAAGGATTTTGGATATCATCCCTAAAAGCAATGAAAGACATTAAAGAATGTTCTCAGTAGCATAGTGACGACTCGATTCATATTTTGAGATCACTCAGGCTGCCACATGGAAAATGGATTGGAGAGACTGAGAGTGGATAATGGGAGACCAGTAAGGCAGCTAATGCACTAAACCAGATTAAAAAAAAAAAACAAAACAGAGAGGTAGCTACTTGGACTAAAATAATGGCAGTAAGAAGAGAGTAGGTAGATTCCAAAACTATTTTAGGTTGTTCTGGTGAGGAACTGGATGTGGGGAGACAGGGTGAGGGAAATATCAAGGATAACTTTGGCACAAGCAACTGGGTGGGTGGTAATGTTACTCACTGAGCTAAGGAACTCTGTGGGAAGGGCAAATTTTTCTTGGGTGGTGATGGGGAGTCAAGGTATAAAGGGTGATGAGTTCTATTTTGGACACATTAAATGTGTAATGCCTCTGAAACACTCAAATGGTGACATAGGTAGGTTGTTTATATGCATCAGTAGGTGAGGTATGGCTAAATATAGAAATTTGGACTAGTTGTTTACATAAATGATAACAGAAGTCATGGGACCAAAAGATATTGCCTAGGGAAAAAGGGCAAAGTGAGATGAGAATAGGGTTCAAGACCCAGACCTGACAAGTGTGAATATTTTAAAAAGTCAGTTATAGGAGGAGACAGTATAGAAAAGGAGACAGAGAAGCAAACCAGAAGAGGGTGCCATCACAAAAATCAAGGGAGGACAGAACCCCAGTGTAATGAGTTGAATGGTAGCTCCCCCAAAGATATGCTCATATCCTAATCCCTAGAACCTGTGAAGGCTACATTGTTTAGAACAGGGGTCTTTGCGGATGCAACTAAATTAAGGACCTTGAGATAAGTAGATCATTCTGGATTATCCCAGTAGGCCCTAAATCCAATGATGTGTCCTTTTTTTTTGGGGGGGGGGATGGGGGCCTCTCACTGTTGTGGCCTCTCCTGTTGCGGAGCACAGGCTCCGGATGCACAGGCTCAGCGGCCATGGCTCACGGGCGCAGCCCC